CTATTCTATTCTATTCTATTCTATTCTATTCTATTCTATTCTATTCTCTCTTCTCCTCTCCCCTTCCTTTCCATTCTATTCTAACCCCTCTCTCTCTCTCTCTCTCTCTCTCTCTCTCTCTCTCACACACACACACACACACACACAAAACGGCCAGGAAACTCAGCTTAGGGCTTCCCGGTGGCTCAACCAAGGAACCAGCGATGGATGGAAAGCAGAGAATTCTCCTTCAAAAACGAGGAGCAGCGGGAGAAAGGATATGACACCACGCAGACGGCGAGCACCGGCTTCGATTCCGGGAAGGGGTGAAGGTAATCCCATATTAAAGCCACGATGGCGAAGAGGCAGGAGATGGTGCAGATGATAAGGCGCCCGTCGATCAAGCAGAAGTTCTCTACGTATTTATACTTTTCCAAAAGGACCTGGGAAGCGGAAAGAAGGGCCCAGGTTAGCCCAGGGCCTGCATCCTCCAAGGGAAGGAAGGGGCTCGACGAGAAGGAGAGAACCTCGGGGGTTCGGGGTTGAAATGTGTGTGTGTGTGTGGGGGGGTGGAGACGCTTGGTGCTCTCTGAGCTGGGTGGTTTTCTTGCAGGCGTTTCGTAGACCCAACTGGGGAACATCATCAGTGCTAGGGGGCTTTGCAGAGAGGAGGAGGAGGAGGAGGGGGAGCAGGACTACGAGGTCCTTAGTGTGCTCTGTGTGCTTGTTGGTGGTTTTCTTACAAGTATTTCGTGGCCCAACTGGGGAACATCATCGGTGCTGGATGGGAGGGACTGGGGTTTGCAGGGAGGAGGACTCTGAGCTGCATGGTTTTCTTGCAGATGTTTCATGACCCAACTGGGGAACATCATCAGTGCCCGAAGTGTGCGGAGGAGGAAGCGGGGGGTGGGGGGAGGACTATGAGGTCCTTAAGTAGACTCTAAGCTTGGTTGTTTTCTTACAGACGTTTCCTCACCCAACTGGGTGGCATCTTCCGTGTTATAAAGGAATGGGAGGTGTGGAGTGGAGGGAGAGAATGAGGAAGTGGAGAAAGGGAAGAGGAAGGACTGTGGGGGTCCTTGGTGTTCTCTGAGTGGGGTTGTTTTCCTGTAGACATTTCATGACCCAACTATGTAACACCATCAGTGTCAGAAGGGAGTAGGGTTTGCTTGTTGTGTTGGGGGGATTATCAGGGAGGCAGGTCAACAGCTTGAGGAGAAAAGGGCCTTAAGCAATGCAGAGGGACGCACAGACACTAGAGAATCATATTCCGTGCTGACCGGCCCCAAAACAAGAATGGGGGGTGGGGGAGGAATTAATAGGAAAGACACAGAACTGGGGGGAGGAGCCCATCCTCTATTCCAAAAGGGAGGAAGTTGGTGTTTTTTTAAACCTTTTTGGCGGAATCATCCAGCGAATTCTTCACCGCTGACCCGTCCCATTTGTCCACTTTCACGGGTTTGTCGTCGATTTTCCACTGAGAGGCAAAAAAAAAAAGTTTAGAAACAAATTCAGGGGTTTAGAAAGAAATTTAAGGGGTTAGAAACCAATTTTTTGGGTGGGGTGGGTGGTGGAGGAGATGGCAAATGCCCCCTTACTTCTCCCCCATGTTGGATTCCCATCCAATTAAATGAAAACAACTGAATTAGGCTCAGTAGGTTGTGTGAAGACTGTTGTTTTGTCTTGACAAGGCTCTACTCTGGAGCCAGTTGTGACTTTCAGATTTATGCTGGTGAAAAGACACCCTGGGTCTTCCTAGGGGTTACATCAGAATTTGGAAATGACAAAGGCCTCCAGAATTCGCTTTTGTACAAAGCGCATCGTCAGCACAACTGAATTAAACATGCAAGCTTTCAACAATGCTTATTTATTTATTTTAATTTGAGGAAAAGGAAAGGCGTTCTTTCAGGAATCCCGAGGGGCAGCCATCGGCCCAAGAGAAAGTAATGAGGTTCACTTTTGTAGGGTTCCACCAGTCAGCCCATAATACAGGGATGGGCAACTCTGCCACTTTAGGACTTGTGGACTAACTCCCAGGATTCCTGAGCCAGCAGCCTGAGGGATTCTGGGAGTTGAAGTCCACAGGTTATAAAATTGCCAGAGTTGCCCATCCGTGCCATAAGACCTAAATAAGGCCTAGATTTAACGTGTTTGAAAGAGCACAGCAATCCAGGGCTGGAAGACACCTCAGAGGTCATCTAATTCAACCCCTTGTTCCAAGAGTATTGCTAAAGTGAGCTTCTCTCTTTTGACCCAGTTTGTTGATAGATCTGATGATCAAGATTTATTGCTCCGGTTATTTTAATTTGGGCTTGTGCGTTTGTTTGCTTCTATCGCTTTTGCTATTTTCTAAGCTGCCCAGAGTCTAAGCAGGCGGGTGGCCACACCTAATTTAATAAATGAAATTAATGTTTTTTTTGTTCCTGATATTAAGTTCCAGATTCACCCATGGCCAGGTGCTACCTGCAGTATTGACCGTAAATCTGTTTTCATCAGTATGACGCGGAGAGGTATGCGCTATTGTCACAATTATTATTGTTTAATAAAAGCACATGAAAGGGGGGAAAAAAGGCTTGTTCTGAGAAGGGAGATTGCTTAGTAGAAAGTTCATGCGAATAACCTGAGAACACAATATTTATAATATTTCTCAATACAGTAAAGACCCAACAGTAATGATTATATTGGGCTTATGTTTCAAATGACAAGCTTGGCCACAAAGTAAGCAAACACCTTTGGAGAATCCTGCCCGGGCGATCATTCAGGAGGCACTGTGCAACCCCAAAATTAGATTTACCGAGTGCATTATTCTTAAATTAATCACTAGTTCTACTGTGCAAACAAAGCAATTCATTCATGCTCCTTGCTGCAGGCCAAGACCAGAGATTAACAGTTAGCCCTCGACTTACGACCACAATTGAGACCAACATTTCCGTGGTTAAGTGAGACATTTCGCTCTGTTTTACAACTTGTCGCGCCACAGCTGTTAAGTGAAACTGTGCCGCGGTTGAGTTAGCAACACGGTCGTTAAGTCAATCCAAATTCCCCATCGGGGAAGCCAGATTCACTTAACAACCATACGAAAAACTTCACCCCTGTAGCGATTCCCTTAACGGTTGTGGCAAGAAATGTCGTAAAATGAGGCAAAATTTCACTTAACCGCCTTGCTCGGCAACATAAATTGTGGTTCGTAAATTGAGGACACGTATATGTTGAGGAAGGTGCTATGTACCTCATCTTGAGGCCCCGGAGGAAAGGTGGACTGTATTATCTCTAATCCTAAATAATAAGCTATATTTAAATTCAAGCATTAAACATACTTCCTCGGTGATAATTTCACCCAATATTCACCCAAAGCTCTTATTATCTTCATTAAAACCATATGGCAATGAGGTGGATCTCTCTCTCTCTCTCTCTCTCTCTCTCTCTCACACACACACACACACCCCAATGCCAAACTACCCAGGGAAGACCCTCAAAAGACACGAAAAAGATTGTTCGTGGAAGACTTAAAAGCATTCTCCCCATCCTGAAAGTACGTTATGATCCCTTGCTGTCCGATAGGCTACGTAGCACGGAGGATCTAATCCCAATGCTAAGATGAGACCTGCTCCAATTTTGCCAAAATGCCAAGTTTCTAGCATCTCCTCATGCAAAAGCCACGGGGGTCTTGAACCCCGTAACAGCACCTGACTAAAACAAGCAGAAGCTGGACAAGGGCTGCCCAGGGATGCTTTAATTCTAACTTTGGGGAGCTACTAGGTACGGGGAGCCCCGGCCCCGTGCTTTTAGAGACCATTTGAAGCTACATCACTAAAAAAAAAAAATCGACTTAGGGCTGTTTTTCACACTTACGTCCGTTGCAGCATCCCACTGGACATGGGATCGGACGCTTGGCAACTGGTTCGTATTTAGGATGGTCGCCTTGTCCCAGAGTCACTGATCTCCATTTGCGACCCTTTTCCTGGCAAACTCAGTGGGGAAGCCAGAGTCACCGAATAACCATGCGACTAACTTAAGAACTCCAGTGATTCACTTAACAATGGTGGCAAGAAAAGTCATAGAACGGGGCAAAACTCAGATAACAGATAATCAGAAGGGACCTTGTAAGTCATCTAGTCCAACCCCCCCCAACCCAAGCAGCGGACCCTACACCATTTCTGACAAAGTTTCTAGGTTGAATCTCTCCTTGATCAGTTTCCATTGTTCCTTGTCTGGCCTTTGGGTCCTTTGGAGAATAGCTTGACCCCCTTCCTCCTCCTCTCTGGGGCAGCCCCTCCCTCAAATTTTGGAAGGCTGCTCTCCTGCCTCCCCTGGTCCTCCTCTTCTCTAGACCAGCCAGGCCCAGTTCCTGTAACCGTTCTTCATATGCCTTAGTCTCCACTCCCCTAATCATCCTGGTTGCTCTTCTCTGTATTTTTTCTAGAGTCTTAAGAACCATCTTGCTTAGCGACGGAACCAATTGTGGTCGTTAAGCCAGGCACTACCTGTATAGGAACACAGCCTGCTGGAGTCAAGCGAAGAACTATTAATGTCTAACGAAACCTCACCTCCTTCTCATTTTTGGCGTTCTTCCTATCGCTTGACTTCCTGTTGCTAGCTTCAAAGAAAGACACATCATCCCTTCTGAAACCCAACGGCCATGTCTAAAAAAATTTCAACTATGACAACTTAATTCTAACCTTTTTTTTTAAAAAAAAAAAATCAAATCAGACAGTAAACTTGCTTATGGACCAGAATGTCCTCTAAGACAAGAGCTGAAACGGCGTGTGTTTTTATTCTCAACACAGAAGTAAGGAAAAAGAAAGCAGTAAAGGCATTGCTGCTGTAAAAGGCTTTCCTCCTCTAAGACTTATAGTAACAAAGAAGAGCTTGTTTCTTAAGGTCCAATAACCAATGTCTGGGCAGGACTATTAAGTGAAAAATGATTTTATTTTTGCTTTCAATGCAAGGAAAGCTGCACAGGGTGAGGAAATCTGCCTGTGAAATTGAAATGAGACCAGAGGACAACAGGGAGAATAAATAAGCACAGCAAAAGAGTAAGGATTTGACACAGTACTTTAGATTTTGAAATACAGGTAGTCCTCAACTTATGACCACAATGGAGTCCAAAATACCCTGGGACCATCGAGTCAGTTGCCAAGTGTCTGAATTTTGATCACGTGACGATGGGGATGCTGTGACGTGTTGTAAGTGTGAAAAACGATCTTAAGCCACTTTTAACAGATAACAGATAATCAGAGTTGGAAGGGACCTTGTAGGTCATCTAGTCCAACCCCCTGCACAAGCAGGAGACCCTACACCATTTCTGACAGATGGGAATCCTGTCTCTTCTTGAAAGCCTCCAGGGATGAAGCTCCCACAACTTCCAAAGGCAACCTCTGTTCCATTGGCTGATTGTTCTCACCATCACAAAATTTCTCCTTACTTCCAGGTTGAATATCTCCTTGATCAGTTTCCATCCATTATTTCTTGTCTGGCCTCCAGGAGCTTTGGAAAATAGCTTGACCCCCTCCTCTCTGGGGCAGCCCCTCCTTCAAACATTGGAAGACTGCTCTCCTATCTCCCCTGGTCCTTCTCTTCCCTAGACCAGCCAAACCCAGTTCCTGCAACTATCATATGTTTTAGCCTCCAGTCCCCTAAATCATCCTGGTTGCTCTTCTCTGCACTTTTTCTAGAGTCTCAACATCTTTATTTATGGTGTGGTGACCAAAACTGGATGCACTACTCTAGGTGTGGTCTTTTGTACATATCACTGTCATTTTGGTCACTAAATGAACTCTTTCAAGTTGTGGACTACCAGCACAAATATCAATTTCAACAAAACATCAGCAAATATACATGCATACCTACACATAAATTAAAACAAAAAAACCACCGTGTACAACATACAAGATAAAACACTAAGTTAAAAGGGTAAAACTACGGGGTCCTTGCAGCTGTTCAGTTAGCCACACGGTTGTTAAGTGAATCTGGCTTCCCTGCTTGTCAGAAGGTTTGGGCACAATACAACATACAAGGTAAAACACTAAGTTAAAAGGGTAAAACTATGGGGTCCTTGCAGCTGTTCAGTTAGCCACACGGTTGTTAAGTGAATCTGGCTTCCCTGCTTGTCAGAAGGTTGGATCACATGACCTCGGGACTCTGCAACCGTCACAAAGACGAGTCAGTTGCCAAGCGTCCCAATTCTGATCACATGACGTGACCCTGGGGATACTACAAATGTCGTAAGTACACAGCAAGCATCTGATTTTTGACCACCTGCTTCAACGGCCCGTTAAGGGTGACAAACGGTCACAAGCCACTTTCACCCACGTCCCTGTCATTTCGGTCACTCGACGGTCGCAAGTCGAGGACTACCTGCACTTACCAGCACAAACGTCAATTTCAACAAATCAGCAGCAGGTATGCATGCAGACACACGCATCAATTAAAAAAAATAGGTGCAATATTCAATATATACGAGATAAAAAGCTAAGTTGAGGTAAAACTGCTCTCTCCCTGCAGGATCCCAGGGGTCAACACGTGTGAATGCGGATTCTTAGGGATTCCCAGCTAGCCAATCAACGACGAGCATCTCTCTCCCTCCCTCCCTCCCCCCCCCCTGTATCCCAGACGGGCGGATGAGGATTCTGGGAGTTGTAGTCCCCGCGCTTTCTCTCTCTCTCTCTCTCTCTCTCTCTCTCTCTGTGTCTCTCCTGAGGCAACGCGGCGCCCTCAGCTCCCGGGCCGACGTGGACAGCCAGGCCGGCCTGCCCGGGGTGGGGAGACGCTGCTGAGGAGAACCGGGCTGGGGAGGCCTTCACCCCGGCCGCCCTCGCTGCCTCGTCCCGGAGCGGGAACGCCCCCGGACGCCGAGGAACCTCCCGGCCGAGCCGCTACCTTGTCCAGGATCCCGTTCTTGTTGGCTCCGCCGCCGCCTCCGCTTCCCGCGCCGCCGCCGCCGCCTTTCGCCGCCATCTTGACTCCTCCTTTTTCCCCGCCCCCCACTTCGCGACCTGTTCGCCGCCGATTGGCCGAACGGGGAGAGGCCCGCGCAAAGGACGCCGGGACGGGGAAGCGCCGCCCTATAGGAAGCTGTGCCCGCGCGCGGTGTAGCCTGGGAAGTGGAGTTTTCCTGGCGGGCGGGTTGCCATGGCTACCGGGGGGAACCATCGTGAGAGAAACCGTGAGGGAATCGCGGTTCGCTGGACCGGCGAAAGGAGCCCGAGGAAGGAAGGCCGCCCGTCGTGCCGATCGGCCGGGGCTGAAGCCGGAGTCGGAACCGCCGTCCTCCCTCCTGCTGGGGGTGGAGAGAGGGAAAAAAAAAAAGGCGCGGGGGTCTTTCTAGCCACGGGAGGACTCCACGCTCTATGGTTTGCCTCCCCCATTCCTTTTTTTTTTAACAAAAAGTTTTAATTAAGTCTTTCCCCCCCCCATTAATTCATTCATTTCACTGACTTTGCCCAAGTTGGGGCTCTTTCCAGCGTGGTATTACAATCCCCATCTCCTCCCCCAAGCTTGCCTGGCCCCCCCACAACCGGGGTGGGTGTGGATTATGGCTTATGTAGTCCTCTCCCATCACATACTGGGGTTTGGAATAGAATGAATGAGCTGGAAGGGGCCTTGGAGGTCTTGTAGTCCAGCCCCCTGCTCAAGCAGGAGGACCTTCCATATTATACCTTTCCAGATAAGTGACTGTCTCCTTAAAAACCTCCAGTGATGGAGCACCCACAGCTTCCAGTGGCAAGGAGTTCCACTGGTTAGTTGTCCTCATTGTCTGGGAGTTTCTTCTTAATTCCAGGTTGCTTCTACTCCTGGATCAGTTTCCCTTAGTTGCTTCTTGTTCTGCCTTCAGGGGCTTTGGACAATAGGTTGACCCCCTTCCTCTTCTTTGGGGCAGCCCTTCAAATATTGGAAGGCTGCTATCATGTCACCCCTGGTCCTTCTTTTCATCAAACTAGACCTACCTGATAACCAAGTACCAGAAGAGACCTCCGAGGTCATCTACTCCGACCCCCTGCTCAAGAAGGAGACAATCATTTCACACAAGTGGCTGTCTCAATCTCTTCTTAAAAACCTCCAGTGTTGGAGCACCCACTGGTTCATTGTCCTCCCTCTTAGGAAATTCCTCCTTAATTCCAGGTTGCTTCTCTCCTCGATGAGTTTCCACCCGTTGCTTCTTCTCCTGCCTCTTCAGGGGGCTTTGGAGAATAGCTTGACTGCCTCTTCTTTGGGGCAGCCCCTCAAATACTGGAAAGATGCCATCATGTCACCTCTGGTCCTTGGAATAGTGCTATCAGGTCACTCCTAATTCTTCTTTTCTCTAGAATTTACCCAAACCCTAATCCTACAATGGCTCTTCATATGTTTTATTCTCCAGGGCTTTGATCATAGTTGCTTGTCTCCGAACCTCTCCAAATTCTCAACATCTTTTTTTTTTATGGGGACCAAAACCGGTTGTAATTTCAGGTTGCTGCATCCACAAGACACCCGCTCAACCTGGTCAGGCTAACGTCAGCGGAGACGTTGGTCCAAACAGGCAAATCTGGGTCAGGGTTAACGTTTAGCTTTTCGTTTGGTTCCCCCACCCCTGGGTTTGGGTGTATTGCGTAAACTCAGAAAAAGGGATTACTTCAACAACACGCGTTCGGTGTGTGTTACTGCAAACCCCAGCCTGCGAAGTGGTTCGGTCGGTGTTTTTAATCGAGCAGCCTGGCCTACCTTGCAAGGTTGTTGGGAGGCTTACTGGCATTCCTCAACTTGGGATCCCAACTGAGCCTCAGATTTCTGTTGCTAAGCGAGTCGTTTTATAAGTGAGTTGGGCCCCGTTTTGCCATCTTTCTTGCCGGCGTTGTTGTGAATCACTTCAGTTGTTAAGTTAGCAACAGGGTTTTTAAGTGCATCTGGCTTTGCTTATCAGAAGGTAGTAAAAAGGGGATTGTATGACCCCCCGCAAGACACTGCAGCGATCATAATCTTGTTTATATATTTTGCTAATAATATACAAACAATACAGATAAAATCGGGTATAAAGATTGATCTCTTATAAGCAATAATAATCATTGGATAATCATAAATCATTGGATGGTGCAGTCAAGCTTTGGGAATCTTTTAAAGCAGCTGTTTCCTAGTAGGACTTGATGTCTTATTGCACCCTATGACTATTATTAAGTGTTGTACCTGATGATTCTGGACTCTTGATAAATGTATTTTTTCTTTTATGTACCCTGAGAGCATTTGCACCAAGATGAATTCCTTGTGTGTCCAATCACACTTGGCCAATAAAGAATTCTATTCTATTCTATTTCTAATCTATTCCATATTTCTATTCCATATTTCTATTTTATTCTATTCTATATTTCTATTCTAATCTATTCTATATTTCTATTCTAATCTATTCCATATTTCTATTCTGTTCTGTTCTATTCTATTCTATTCTCTATCCCATCCCATCCTATTTAAATTCTATTCCTAAGGCCTTCTATTCTTATTGTACCCTCTGACTATCATTAAATGTTGTACCTGTTGATTCTGGACTCTGACGAATGTCTCTTTTCTTTTATGTACACTGAGAGAATTTGTACCAAGACAAATTCCTTGTGTGTCCAATCCCACTTGGGCAATAAATAATTCTATTCTGTTCTGTTTTGTTCTATTCTATTCCATTCTATTCTCTCCTATTCTATTAATTCTTATTCTTATTCTATTCTATTCTATTCTATTCTATTCTATTCTATTCTATTCTATTCATTCTTATTCTATTCTATTCTTTATTGTTGTCTTTTTTAAAAAAAGATGTGGGAGTTTACAAAACGACATAGGACACTGTGTGCCAAAGCGGGTGCCGAGAGCCAAACTCACTTAACAACTGTCTCTCTTAGCAACGGAAATGTTTGGGTTCCATTGTGGTTGGTAAGTCAAGGACTACCTATAACCCCTTTTAAAAAATACAATAACGAGAAAGAACGCCGCTTGAAGCCATTTAAGAGTTGCTCTTAGCAGCCCAGAAATGAAACCCTGAGATGGTTTAATTTGGAGACGCCTACCCCCTAGGGTTTGGGGGCGGGTTGGACTAGATGACCTCAAGGAACGCTACCAGCCTTTATTCTCTCTTAGCCCAGCTTCTTTGATGGATTTGACGCAGAAGGAACGGACCAGAGGGGGTTTAAAATCTCGGGATTTCTAAGCCCGGGATCTGAATGGTAATAAATCCCCCCCACCCTCCTGGTTGTCGTCCCATTTTCCCCCACCCCCCAAATAACTCCCACGACCCTCTGCTTACTTTGTAAGAGGCCTTGGCAGTGCTTCGTGAGGGGGGCAACGAGCTCCGTGAAGGTGGCGACGAGGTCTCTGGTGGCTGCCATTGGAGCGGGACGTCACGGCAATGTTTCACGTTGACTTGTATCCTCACGTCGCCATGCGTCACTCGCATTGCTGGTCTGGGCAGGTGGTGGTCTCCTTAGCGGGGAGGGGTCTCCTGAGGGCCTGCTGAGAAGGGTCCCTCTGGGCCATGTCACAGAGGCCTAGCTGCTTTGTTAAGCAGTGACATGGGGGGGGGAGTTTATCCAGGGGTGGGATTCACATTTTTTAACAACTGGTTCTGTGGGCGTGGCTTAGTTGGTGGGCGTGGCTTGGTGGTCATGTTATTGGCTGGGCGTAGCCAACTCAATGTCACTCACATCGAGGCACGCATCTCCTCGCCTGGCCTCTTGTGACCGTGTGGGGTTGCTGCAACAGTCGTAAGTGTGAAAAACGGCCGTAAGTCCCTTTTTTCAGTGCCATTGTAACTTTGAATGGTCACACAAGCAAAGTACCAGCAAAGGAGGGGGAAAAAACTCCAGAGAAGTTCCAGAGACAGGAAGTCTAGTCCTGCCAAGAATGTAATAAGGATTAATGGAGAGGCCGTTTCTGTAAGCAACACCAGAATGTTTCCTTCCTGCCTTCCTTACAGGATTAGCCCTGTAATTTCTTCTAACAACCGGTTCTCCGAACTGCTTAGAAGGTTAACAACTGGTTCTAGCGAATAGGTGCGAACTGGTAGAATCCCACTCCTCGGGGTCTCCCCTGGAAATAACAGGGATTGCAAAAGACCTGTTATTTTATTTTTTAAAAATTTGCAAAGGGGACAAATACCAGCGTTGGGGGGGGGGACCTTAGAGGTCGTCTAGTCCCACCCTTCTGCTCAAGAAAGCAATGCTCCCATTTGACCTTTCTTGCCTCGGTTAAGTGAATCCCTGCAGCGGATAACCCTAACCCCGTGGACCCTGCTTAACAGATAACAGATCGTCACAGTTGGAAGGGACCTTGTAGGCCCATCTAGTCCAACCCCCTACACCGTTTTCTGACCGATGGGCAGGTTTTAATTAACCTTTTGCTTTGCCTTAAGGGCTGAAGGAAGACCATGGCGGCCTTTTATAAGCTGGATGATGGGCAGTGTTACCCGACCAACTGCTTTCCAGCTAAAAGCCTTTTGCAGCCTCGATACGAAGAAGGTAACGTCTTCGGATATGCAGTTTTTAAGATCTGGGGAAGGGTTAAGGATCTTTGCAGCTGGAAAAAAAATAGAGAATCCTCTCAAGCGGCCCCGCTTACGTTTCTAGAGTAAGGCTCCCAGCGTGTAACCTGTCACCCTCTCAAAACCTTGAGGCAGTGAAAAGCTCGCCCAGTTGTGCAACCTGTTGTGTGAATCTCCCCTCTGCTGCCATCCTTTTGGGGAGTTTAGGAAAAGATTTCCATAGAAGAGAGGATTTGTGGTTCAGGATTGAACTGTGGGATCTTTCATGTTCTCTGAGCTTTCATGCCTTAAGGCAGAACTAGAACTCACTGTCTTCCTGGGGATTGGCCAAAGTCATCCAGCCGGTTTTCATGGTTAAGGCAGAACTAGCACTCGCTGTTTCCTGCCTATTGTTCCAAAGTCACCCAACAAGCTCTAAGGCAGGACTAGAACTCACCATTTCCTGCTGACTGGCTCAAAGTCACCCAACTAGCTTTCATGGCAAAGGCAGGACTAGAACTCACCGTCTCCTGGTGATTGGCTTAAAGTCACCCAGCTGGCTTTCATGCCTAAGGCAGGACTAGAGCTCACCGTCTCCTGGTGATTGGCCCAAAGTCACCCAGCTGGCTTTCATGCCTAAGGCAGGACTAGAACTCCCCGTCTCCTGGTGATTGGCCCAAAGTCCCCCAGCTGGCTTTCATGCCTAAGGCGGGACTAGAACTCACCATTTCCTGGTATTTGGCCCAAAGTCACCGAGCCAGCTTTCATGTCAAAGACTGGACTAGAACTCACCATCTCCTGATAATCGGGACAAAATCACCCAGCAAGCTTTCATGGGTAAGGCAGAACTAGAATTCACCATCTCCTGGTTTAACCACTAGGCTAGAGGGGTTTATAGTTCACCTTAAAAGAGGACCTGACTTGTGGGAGGGCTCACATTGCAGCCCTGGTCAAAAGGACCCAGCAGAGATTAGACTACCTGAGACTTCTCAGGAAACAACAACCAAATGAGAAACTGCTGGTGACCTTCTACCGCTGCACCAAAGAGAGCATCTTAGCTTACCGCACACCTGTGTAGGGTTTGCCCATTGCACAGGGGCAGATAGGACAGCCCTCCAGAGGGTGAATGTCATTGCCCAGAGGATCAATGGGTTGCCGTCTCCCCTCTTTGGAAGAGCTTTATACCTCCCGCTGCCTTAAGAAAGCTCAAAACATCCTCAAAGATCCATCTCATCCTGGGCACCCTTTTTTTTTTTTTGAGCTATTACCATCTGGCAGATGGTACAGGAGAATAATAAAAACAAGGACAAATAGGTTGAAAAACAGCTTCTATCCCAGGGCTGTAGCGCTCTTGAATTCCACTGTATAGTGCAATATTAACACAATATCAATTGTATAGAATGCAACTGCCCCCTTTCCTCTTTGGAAGAGCTTTAAGAAAGTACAAAACATCCTCAAAGATCCATCTCATCCTGGGCATCCTATTTTTGAACTATTACCATCTGGCAGATGGTACAGGATAATAATAAAAACAAGGACCAATGGGCTGAAAAACAGCTTTTATCCCAGGGCAGTAGCTCTGTTGAATTCTACTGTATAGTGCAGTGTTGGTGTGGTGTTATGAGTTTTCCATTCATTGTGTGGAGTGTGAAGGATGTGTGTTTGTGTTTATTTTCATGGTCATGATGTGCACTGAAGACGGGGTTTGATTTCGTTGTACGAGGTGCAATGGCCATCAAGTAAACTAAACGTATCTTAGTTGAGTTCTCCTAACTGGGTGCACCTGGGTTTTGTTTCTGCCCATATTGCTGCAGGAGCCGGTCACTGGCAGGTGGCTCGTCAGAACGTGGAGAAAACCAAGGTGGAATGGCTGTTTGGCACGCGAGTTGTCCAGCAGAGCTGGCAAGAGTGTTTGCGGAAAGCCCAGTGCCCCAGGCCAGAGAAAGTACTCGATGGGGCCCGGCTGGTGAGTGTGGTCTTTCTTTGTTGCGTTGCATGGCTCTCCTGCCCGTTTCAGAGGGTTGGACTAGATGACCTTTAGGGTCCTTTCCAGCCCCACAACACTAGGTGTCTTAAGATCTTGGAAGGACAAAGGCCAAGGAGCTTCATGAGGGTTTGAGGTTTGAGCGGAAAGTGGGTAGCAGGAGCGTAGATAGGAGACATCCTTGACTTACAGCCGTTCGTTTAGCGACCATTGGAAGTTGCAAACGGCACTGAACGTCTATTGGAGTTCCTCGTTCTCTTGCCATTCAGTCAGAACTGAAGAAGCTTCTGGGAGGAGAAGTGAAATGTCTTCCAAGGAAGAAAAAGCCAAGAAAGTCCAAATGGGAAAAAGCACTTTGGGGACAACAGTACTGAAAAAAGTGCCTATGTTTCACACTTATGACCGTTGCAGCATTTCCCCCCCCCCGGTCATGTGATCAAAATTCAGAGGCTTTGCAACAATGGACTCATATTTATGGCGGTCGCAGCGCCGCAGGATTACGTTGTCCCTTTTGGCGGCCTTCTGACAAGCAAACTCAAACCCAGGTTCACTGAATGACTGCAGCCAGATTTCCCCATGCTGGCTGGGGGATTCTGGGAGTTGAAGTCCACCAATTGGGAGACCCTGGACCAGACATGCCCAGTTCCCTCAACCATTCACCCTCTGAACCGAGGTTATATGAAGCGTCGTTGTTACCACTTTATGAGGCCTTGGTGAGGCCACACTTGGAATCCAGCGTCCGGTTTTGGTCGCCACGATGTAAAACTACACCGAATTAAAAAAAGGGATTTATTTTGTCTACTTAGAGCTACTCAAGTGAATCCACCACCCACCCCGACTTTCTCAGACTTGTGGCAGCGTGGAAGCATCGAATCTCAGTATAGCTTCCAAAGCTGACTCTAGTCTGGCTAGTCTAGTGAAGAGAAGGACCAGGGGAGACAGGAGAGCAGCCTTCCAATATTTGAGGGGCTGCCAGAGAGAGGAGGAAGGGGGTCAAGCTATTTTCTAAAGCCCCTGAGGGCCAGACAAGGAATAATGGATGGAAACTGACCAAGGAGAGATTCAACCTGGAAATAAGGAGGGATTGTCTGACAGGGGGAACAATTCACCTGTGGACAGAACTTTGCCTTCGGAAGTTGTGGGAGCTTCATCCCTGGAGGCTTTCAAGAAGAGACTGGACTGTCCTCTATCAGAAATGGTGTAGGGTCTCCTGCTTGGGCGGGGGGGTTGGACTAGATGACCTACAAGGTCCCTTCCAACTCTGGCATTCTGTATTCTGATTAAACGGCAGATTAACATACAAAGAACAGTTGCGGGAATTGGATATTATCTGATTTAATGAAAAGAAGGACCAGGGGTGACATAATAGCAGTGTTCCCATGTCTCAGGGGCTGCCCCAAAGAAGAGGGAGTCAAGCTATTCTCCAAAGCTCCTGAAGGCAGGACAAGAAGCAATGGGTGGAAACACACACACACACACAGACCCATTTTACAGAATATTCTTTTGTTGTTGTTGGTATTAAACTGTTTATCAAGCATTTCTGTATTACATTTTCCTTCCTTCCTTCCTTCCTTCCTTCTTCCCACCCTCCCTCCTTCCCTCCCTTCCCTTTTCTTTCTCATCTATCCCTCTTTCCTTCTTTCTTCCTTCTCTTCCTCCTCTTCCTTCCTTCCTTCCTTCCTTCCTTCCTTCCTTCCTTCCTTCCTTCCTTCCTTCCTTCCTTCCTTTCCTTCCTTCCTTCTTCCCACCCTCCCTCCTTCCCTCCCTTCCCTTTTCTTTCTCATCTATCCCTCTTTTCTTCTTTCTTCCTTCTCTTCCTCCTCTTCCTTCCTTCCTTCCTTCCTGCCTTCCTTTCCTTCCTTCCTTCTTCCCACCCTCCCTCCTTCCCTCCCTTCCCTTTTCTTTCTCATCTATCCCTCTTTCCTTCTTTCTTCCTTCTCTTCCTCCCCTTCCTTCCTTCCTTCCTTCCTTCCTTCCTTCCTTCTTTCTTTCTTTCTTTCTTTCTTTCTTTCTTTCTTTCTTTCTTTCTTTCTTTCTTTCTTATAATAACGCCACACGGTGCAGCCGTTCTGGCATTACAATTGTTATATATGTATAAATGTTACTTCACCATTTACAATCCTCTTGTCTTGATAGATTGTTTACTAATTATTCCAATCTTCCTAGCTCCTTAGGTTCCAACCTTGCCTTGATACGGAGTATTCTTGTATCGCCAATGCATAGGCAATTATTTTCGGCGGTAGCGACTCGACTTCCCCGTTTTTGCTTGACTGACCTTCCCTTTCTCTGGCTTGCGATTTCCTAGATGAAGCTCCACCATGTACAAAAACCTTCGGATTTGTGCTCCGTGAATATCAGCCACCAGAACTTTGCCTTGGTGCGTAGGAATTCGAACCTGCAACATCCCTTTGCTTCAAGAGGTTGAGATGCAGAGGAACTTGGGCCCTTACAGATGGCCGTCTGGGTGGCTCGGTTCACTTCCTTTTTCTCCTGGGTGGGGTTGTGGTTTGCCGATCGCCTGTGCAGACGGCAGCGGCATTGGACAGCGTGGAAGAACAGGGACCAGTCTGGGGAGGGGCTCGGATGAGGGTCCTGCATCCGATGCAGAGATGGAGCCAGGACCATCTGGAAGTGGGGTACTGATGCCGGAACCTCCAAAATCTGGAGTGAGGCAGAGGAACAGCGGGAGCCTGTTCCCATTGCGCGCTTGCGTAGAGCTGCCAGAAGAGTTAAGACAAAAGGGGTGACTCAGAAGGAAGGCTTGGAGATGATTGGCCCCTCCCATAAGGTATAAAGGAAGTGCAAAGGGACAGGAGCCTTTGCAGGAAGCAACTTTGTTTGCTCTGTTCGGATTAAACCTTGAAGCTCTGTATGGAGGTAGTACTTTGGTTGGGATTTTTTTTCAAGTTAATTTGGCACTTTAGTTGTTGGCAGCCATTCAAAGGTGAGAAAGGTGAGTGCTTATCTCGAGGAACTATTTGGGACTCATTACGGGCTGGGAATGAAAATAATTCCCGGCCGTTGAAATAAAACAAGAGTGGACTAAGCGTGTGCTTAAGTACGGTCTCAGGAAGCCTTGCTCAGAACAGGTGGGTGGGACTCGTTTCTTCATTTCCCAGGTAGTCCTCGACTTACAACAGTTCTCTTAGTGACCATTCAAAGTTAGCACGGCGCTGAAAGAAGTGACTTGCTTATGACCACATGGTGCCCTTAGCGACCATTACAGCATCTCCATGGTCACGTGATCAAAAATTGAGCCGCTTCCCAACTGACTCATATTTATGATGGCTGCAGTGTCCCCGGTGTGTGTGTGTGTGCGTGTGCGTGTGTGTGTGATGTGATGGCAATCTTTTGCCAAGCAGGGCCAACGGGAGGAAGCCAAGGTTCGTTTAACGACCAGACTATTGACGTCACAGCTGCAGTGATTAGCTTAACAAGTGGGGCAGGAGTAGTCATAACATTAGGGCATAACTCGCCCAGCAACTCCTCTGTCTCGCTTAGCGGCGGAGATCTCGGGCTGAATTGTGGTCGTAAGTCGAGGACTAACTCGTCGCTCAAAGGGATTCTGTCGAAGGATGGGGTGTTTGGGCCCCCTCTTGTGGGGTCGGTTGGTCAGGGAAGAGACCCTTAGAAGTGAAGGTACCGACCTGCTTGCTCTCCCGTTTCGACAGGCAAAGGAGAGCGATTTTATGCAGTTCGATTCTGTCGCTTACGTCAACGCCACCGAAAACCTGCTGACTTTAGGTAAGGAAACCACACGTGGTGGGGGCGTCCCTCGTAATTTCGGGGGGTGGCTTGGATGGGTCATGTTTGGTGGGTCCATCCTGACTAGAAGTGCTGCTTAGGTTTATTTATGTCTTTACGTTCCCAGTTGTTTATTTGTCGTGCTGCCCTTGTTCAGTGACCGTTCGAAGTTACGTCGTTGAGAGAAAATAGAATAGAATAGAATATCAGAATAAAGAATAGAACATAGAATAGAAATAGAAATAGAATAGGAAAGAATAGGAGAGAATAGAATAGGAGATAATAGAATAGAATATAGGAATAAGAGAGGAGTGGAGAAGAGAACAGGAGAGAATAGAATCGGATAGAATAGAATAGAATAGAATAGAATAGAATAGAATAGAATAGAATAATAATGGAATAGATTAGAATAGAATATTGGAATAAAGAATAGAACAGAATAGAATAGAATATCGGAATAAAGAATAGAATAGAAATAGAATAGAATAGAAATATGGAAGACTAGACTAGAATAGAATAGAGTAGAATAGAATAGAATAGAATAGAAATATGGAAGACTAGAATATAATAGAAATATGGAAGACTAGAATAGAATAGAAATATGGAAGATTAGAATAGAATAGAGAATAGAATAGAATAAGAATAAGAATATTAAGGATAAGAATAGAATAAGAATAGAATAGAATATAGTATAGAATAGAATAGAATAGAGAATAGAATAGAGTAGAGTAGAATAGAATAGAATAGAATAGAAATATGGAAGACTAGAAAAAAAATAGAATAGAATAGAATAGAATAGAATAGAATAGAATAGAATAGAATAGAATAGAATTCTTTATTGGCCAGGTGTGATTGGACACACAAGGAATTTGACAAGCAGAGTCAATAGGGAAGCCAGATTCACTTCACAACCATGTGACAACCTAACACTGGCAGTGATTCAGTCAGCAACTGTGGCAAGAAAAGTCATAAAGTTGGGCAGAATCCATTGCACAATGATCTTGGCTTAGCAACAGAAACCTGGGGCTAAGTTGCAGACTTAAGTTGAGGACTATGTCTATCCAGGGCTTCCTAAGTCATTTTTGGCAGTATCAGGGAGATCTTGCATTAGTGCTGGTTAAAATACCACTGAATGTTTTATCCTTGTCTGCTTGGATCCTTGGACCAAAATATCAGTCTATTTCAGGTGGCCACCTTTTAAAATCATCTTTATTTTCACATTCGTCTAGAAACTTTCCGTAACTTTCCTGGCCTTCGGGAGCTGGAACTTTCTCTGAACGGTCTGAGAAATCTTAAAGTCAGGATTGGGGATTTCCCTCACTTGGAAGTAAGTTCGAAGGGCAAAAGGGAACGTTGCATGAATCCCGGCTGGGAATCGGGCAGGAGAGGGTTAAACGTTTGCAACTTGAAAAACCAGGTTCTCATCTTCTATATATTGTTTGTAAACTCAGTTTGAAATGATAGATAGATAGATAGATAGATAGATAGATAGATAGATAGATAGAT